CCAGACAATTAGCGTGCAATTGCAGAATAAAGAACGTGCATTTATCTATAAGTCCCATTATGGGGCTAATCTTCTATTGTGCATTTAGAGAGGGGTTGCATTTAGAGAGGTTGCATTTAGAGAGGTCTGACTGTACAAAGTTTTTTTCAATGATTATTTAATCAAATTTGATGATTTTTTTTTATTTTAATTCTAAATTAAAATAAAAACTTTAGTATCTACAAAAAAAAGCCAATAAATTTTTTTAAAGCTTTCAAATATAGTAAATATTTCTTAATAACTACCTATCCAAATCCAATAAAAAATTTTTTATCAATTATACAAACATATAAAATTAAAATAAAAAAAATCTGCATCAAGAAATTTTTATTTATTATTTTTTTTTTTAGGCTTAAAATTTTTTTTAAACTGAAATTTCTTGACAATAACCTGACCAAATTTGATGAAAACTTTTTTTATTTTAATTATGCATATTCGTAGAATTGAGATAAAAAATTTTTTTATCAAATTTAATTAGGTAGTCACTAAGAAATATTTATTTGAAGTTATGAAAAAAATTTACTGCAGCTTTTTATTGTAGATACTATCAATAATTATCTAACCAAAATTCAACGAAAATTTTTTATTTTAATTTTACAGATCTATAAAATCAAAAAAAATTTTTATTGAATTTAGCTAAATAATTATCAGGAAAACTTGTAAAATTTTAGTATCTACAAAAAGAAGCTGTGGTAAAATTTTTTCAGAACTTAAATAAATATTCTTGTTTTAATTCTACAAATATGTAGAATTAAAATAAAAGATTTCCATCAAATATGAACAGATAACCAGAAGCTTTTATTATTGTTATAGTTTTTTTCAAGATTTTTAAACTTTTTTTTAAAAAATTTTAAGCAAAGTTTTCTCCACGACTATCTAACCAAATTCGATGAATTTTTTTTATTTTAATTTTAAAAGTTTGTAGAATTAAAATAAAAAAATTACACTGAAATTAGTTAAATATACGTCAAGAAATATTTATTTAAAGTTTCAGAAAACCTTTAAATTTTAAAAGGATCTTCCTGACTATATTCCCGATGTATTCCAACTAGGAATTTTGGGGAATCCCCTGTATGAGTTGTATTATTATTATTATACAAGGCCAGCTAGATATTACTGGTAAGGCGGCATCCATAATTTACGTTAAACTAGTACTAAATTGTATAGAAATAGATAATACCATCTGGTATTATTTTTGCATTATCTTTAAAATTTCTATAACAATACCATTTTAACGTAAATTATAGATGCTACCTAATAACAATATAATACGTATACAGAATAATACAGTATATATATTATATATATATATATGGTGTATATTATACTGAGCATTTTCATTATACCAGTATAAAAACATCTCTATTCTCAGTTCTACATTGAACCTAGGTGCCACACAAAAAATGCGTAGCAGATACACGATTTTGATTAGCTAAAAGCGACGATCAGAAATTAGACCAGAATGAAATCGCAGCCGCCCACTAAGTCTATTTTTGTAATGAAAAAATCAAAAAGTTAATTCTGGCTGGAAATTAGTAAACAATTGTAATGTTGGCCAAAGTTTTGAAGATCCTCGGCCATTAGTCAATCAAAATTGAGGATCTGCTGCGTATTTTTTTGTAATCAGATCTACGCTAAGGGTCCTCGTTGATTTGATTTTTTTTTATCTGTTATGTTACCTGGGCTAATTTACGTTGTAATATCGTCGTTCTACTGTACACCCTGTTGTTCCTAAAATCCTAGATTCTTTACATAAAGAGTTTATTAGACAGTCTCTGTTTTCATTTCAGTGATTAAGTTTCTTCTTTTACTATTAGAGCTCCTAGTGAATGATTCTGATTTTTTACTTCAGAACACGAGTGGTCATTGTTAGATTTTTTACTATTTCGACAACAATGTATTGATTTCCATATTGAAAAAATTGTAGAACATAACCAATATGTTCGTAGCCTTGCAAATATTATCAACTGGGAACAAGCATCTTCAGGATTGATTAAACAGGCTAATGATGCACTTAGTAGAGTGCAAGTAAGCATTATCTTTTAATACCTCTTAATATTTTGTTGGATATTTTGTTGGCACAGATGGGCCTGAAAGGGCAATAGCCTTTTGGATGGGGTTGCGACTTATTGGCCACCAACATTCCTGATTGCGATTGGGGATGCATAAATTGCGATTCGGTGATTCCTTCTGTGTTCAACTATCCAACATTTCTGCTAGCATGGATGGGTCTAAAAGGGCAATAGCCTTTTTAGATGGAGTTGCGACTTATTGGCCACCAACATTCCTGATTGCGATTGGAGATGCATGAATTGTGATTTGGTAGTTCCTACCATATTCAACTACTCAACATTCCTGAGGCATGGCAGGTCTGAAAGGGCGATAGCCTTTTTAGATGGGGTTGCGACTTATTGGCCACCAACATTCCTAATTACGATTGGGGATGCATGAATTGCAATTCGGTGGTTCCACCCTGCAATTGGGAATCATCGAAATGATTTTTTTTTATTTTGGTTTTTGTTAGATGGTTCCTTTATATCTCATTAATTTTTTTCTTATATACTTTGTTAATAGGAGGGAAAAAAATCTTTCTTAGTTCAAGAGTTTTGGGATGTAATCATGTCAGTTTAAAAAAGAAAAATTGCAGATAAAATTGAACATACAGTTGCACTGGTACAGAATACTGATTTTACTGATCTGTTATTATTACACACATAGCATGATATAAACATTTATCTATTGCAACAGGATGAACTCGTTACAGCCACTATATACTCGACTCTCAGACATGATAGGCAGGAGAATTCAGTTCGAGAAGAAGTTTCAAACCGTTTAAATGATCTAAATAATAATTGTTTACACAAACATCGACATGTGCAGAAAACACCACCAACTTTAATAAATAAGGTGATGTATTTTTCATTGATTTTGTATAGCTATAAGAAAGTTCAAGATATAATCCAGTACTTAACGTGCGAAAAGGTAACACGTAGGTTAACACCGTGAATGAAGTCACGAGCATCCATTTGTCACAAAATCATGACCCGGACCCATGATGTGAAATTAGCAATTTGTAAGTATGATGTATTTGTGATGTATATCGATTTGATTGATTGAGTAATTTGTAGCATGAGCAATTTTGTAAGTATGATGTAATGGGTAAATGTCGATTTGATTGAGTAAGTATGAGGTCATAGTGGAGAATATTTAAGAGAGGGAAAAGTGGAATTTGTTCTTCCTCTTTTGTTTTTACTGCTAGCTCGATGCAAGTCTAGCTTTATCGATAGGACCCCCGCCCACCACTAGGTGGGGTGGGAAAACGGGGAGGTGAGATTAACTGACAAAGGGTTTTGGTAGCCTGGGTGGACAACCCAGATATAAGTAAAATTGGCATAGTTTTCGGTAGCTCAGGTCAACAGCCCGGATATCGAAAGAGTAAATTTAAATAGTTATAGGGATTCGATAGTCCGGGTGAGCAACCCGGATATTGAGAGTAAAAGTTAATTTGGCTAGTTATAGACAGGGGTTTCAGTAGCCTAAGTGAGCAACCCAAATATCGAGAGTAAAGTTAGTTTGACTAGTTATAGATAGGAGTTTCAGTAACATCGAGACAGGGACCCATAAAATTTTAGTTTTAAAAAAACAAAATTTTTTGATAACTAAAAAATTTAGGCTTAAATTTAGTAAATTTTAGATAAATTTTGATTTCAATTTAGTAAATTTTAGATAAATTTTGATTTAAATTTAATAAATTTTAGAAAAGTTTTATAGTTTATTCTTTTATTTTGTTAAAATATTTAATAATTCAGCATTTAAATTTTGCTGATTGTTATTAAATATAAAATTAGGAACTAAGTCTTATAAATTTATATCTCTAGATCACGGCATCAATATCCAATACAAACTAATCATAATACTGTATACCTTAGAAGTTAAATAAAATACGTATAACTAGGGATAAGCAAATCAAATATTTTTTGAATCTATTGCAGCCTACATTTTAGTTTATTGCTAATGTAGGCCAAAATTGTAAAATTTAGAAATATTTCGAAATTCCGAAATATTCCACCTGCAGCATCTCATTCCTATGTATCACAAACTATAATATAATAAGAAAATTTTAGTTAAAATTGATAATTTGATAGATTTTTTGTGAAAATTTTAGATCTAAAATTTTATGGATTCCTGCATCAAGAGTAAAAGTTATTTTCGGTAGCCCGGGTCAACAACCTGGATATTAAGAGTAAGGGGTAGATTTGGTCAACCTGGATATCATAGGTGAAAAGTTCGATAGCCTGACTGGACAGGCTGGGTATTAAAAAAAAGGGGAACATGATGCTAAGAAACCCGCTGTAGACCACGTGAGCAGTGAGACGAGATCCCATATAGTGTATTTTATAGTTTTGTAGTTGTTTATTTTGTTGGTGTGTGATCGAGTGACAAATACTTGATAAGATACAGCAGTGATGTCAATTATCGATCTGACATCAATTATCAATCCGACAGCGATCATCAACCCAAACTTTGGGGGGCCGCCCTGAAATACTCCTACGCCAAAATACTTTGAATCTTGTAGTGTGACAAAAAGAGATAAGTATTTCATTTTATTTACAGAAGTGGGGTAAAGGTCTTTTTAGCACTACACTGGCTTGCTTACTTTATTATTAGGGGTAGCTTTATTGAAGAAAAAACTAATCATTTATATATACATTTAATTTTACTATATAACACATCTAATTTTAATTGAAATTGGTAACATATTTATTTATCCAGCAATTTATTTTCAATTTTGAACGAAAGTTTACTTATTTTTTTTTTTTGATTTCATTGAAATGGAATCTCCAAAACTAGAGATATGAACCATTTGTCGATCACGGCCCGCATTATGGTTAATTTGGGCCGTGATCGGCAAACAGTTCGCATCTCTATCCAAAACACGTATGAATTCTGTGCCAGGTTATGCAGATTATGCGGCCAGATCCTATTAATAGTAAATTCAAAAGTTTTTCAAAACTTCTAGCAATGATTACTCAATAGCTACTTAATCAAATTCAGTAAAACATTTTTTATTTCAATTCAATAGATTTGTAAAATTAAAATAAAAAAAAGTTCGTTGAATTTGGTTCAGTGGTTATCGAGAAATTATCGATAAAAGTAAAAAAACAACCCAAATTTTTTTTTGTTTGAGCTTTAAACAAACATTTCTCGACAACCAACTATCAGAATTTTGACGAAAATATTTTTATGAATTATTAGAATTAGAATAAAAATATTTGATCGATTTGGATAGCAGTTTGTCGAGAAATATTCATTAAAAGATTGGCTGCAGCTTCTTTTTTTAAAACATTTAAACTTTGAACGAAGATTACTCAGCACAAATTCAATCAATTTTTTTTTCATTTTAATTACATGAGCTTATAGAATTTAAATAAAAAAAAAAGACCAATTTGATTAGATAAGTGACGAGTAATCTTCGTTCAAAGTTTAGACACTTTAAAAAAAGAAGCTGCGGCCAAATTTTTTTTTTAATTTTAATGAATATTCCTCGGCAATCTGCTATCCATTTTTTATTTTAATTCTATTAACACAGAATTAAAATAAAAAATTTTTGTTAAATTCTGATAGTTGTTGTCGAGAAATTTTTGTTTAAAGCTCAAACAAGAAAAAATTTAGTTTGTTTTTTTACTTTTATCGATGATTCTCAATAACCACTGAACCAAATTCAATAAACTCTTTTTTATTTTAATTTTACAAATCTATTGAATTGAAATAAAAAATGTTTTACTAAATTTGATCAAGTAGCTATGAGTAATCATTGCTAGAAGGTTTGAAAAACTTTCGAATTTATTAATAGGATCTGCGCAGAATTCATACGTGCAAAAACAAAGATTTTCAAACTCTTATTTAATTTAACTTGGATGCCCCCTAATAGTGTTAATCACATCCTCATGTGAGGTTAAACATAAATTTAATAAGCCCACCACATAAATGCGCGATCTAGAGTTCAAAATAATACAAGAGCTATCCTTCTCACACATGCAACACATTGATGTGTAAGGACAATATAACCAAAGATCGGTTATAACATACAAGTTTCTTTGGACTTTTACCTGTAGTTAATGAAAAATATATAAATGGAAAAAAGAAAAAAAAAATTGTAATATGTACTAAATTTAAAAAGGAAAGAATTTTGATAATTTGAATTTCCCGCAGTAAAAATCGTGTATTAGAATTTTAACCGAGGTATTTCTAAATTAAGCATAGCTTTTTGTACTCAGAAATAAGATAGTCTATTGTAACTGCATCAGCAAATTATATAAACGTAATCTTACGTAAGATATTACGGCCCATAATATTGTGCAAGAATTATGGTCTGGACATAATATTGCGCAATTTATTACGTAATATTATGCAATTTATTACGGAGTATTACGCAATTTATTACGG